GAAAGATATTTCTGTGAAAGCCCATGTGTGTAACATACCAAACAAAAACGCCTCCATTTTTCATATAAAAGGCCCACGGGCTCCCAAATACTCATATTCTCTCCTTTCTTTGGCCTCACTCTCTCTCATTCTCACCAGGGTTTTACTTTTTGCTTAAACCTGCGCCCATGACCACCAGGGTAGCAGCGGCGGCGCCCCGCGTTTTGCGGCGGTTTTTCTGCACTAACTCCGCCTCTTCCTCTTCTCCCTCTTTCCCCTTCATTCCTCCGCCGCCTTCGGGCGCCGGCCCCGCCCCCGCCCGCCCCACGGCGGAGCCCAACACAAATCTCTTCGTCTCTGGTATCTCTCTCTCTCTCGTTCTCTTAATTTCTCTTCACTTTTAATTAATTAAATTAAGGCCTTGTTTTTTATTTATTGTTGTTGCCGTTTATTGATCTGACGACAATGGAAAGTTCCGGTCTTGACGTTTGGTGCTAGATAATTAGATTTTGGTGTGGACTGTGAATTGAATGTGCGTGGTTTAGGGTTTGACGAGTTTAAGGTTTGGAGTTTGAGTTAAGTTGTTATCGTCTGATTTTGATTGTTTATTATATTATGCTCATTGGTTTTGTTACTCGTGTGTATGGTTCTGAATTTTCAATGACATAGACGCTATAGAAGCGGCTAGGTTTCGTGTTTGCAGTACTTCTAGCTTAAAGAGCTAATGTTTTCTTCTTCTGTGAATTGATGTTTTAGAAGCTTTAGAATAGGTGAGTTGTTGAGTTGTGTTGTGTTGTGTTGTGTGTATACTTTTTGTTGTTACTATAACATTGTTATGACTTCATTTATCTCCCTTTACGCACACAAAACCTTACACTGCAAAAGTAGGCTAGATACCATATCTGAGGCAGATTGTCACGACTCAGTATGAAGCGTTTGGTGAAGGAGCAATGTGAGGTGTATCGATCTAAAAAATGAAACTTTTGTTAATCTTTTTACTCAATGAGAAAATGAGTTGACATTGGAAAGAGCTTTTGCTGATTCGGTTGGTGAAGAAGGTTTGGTGGTTAGAAGAACAGAGTGAGAAACTGAAGGGATGAATAACTGGAAAATACACTGTAAGAGTTGAACTGTTGAAGTGTGTTCGTTTTGCAGTTAGCACATTTTCCTATGCATGTTTGAATCAATCCATGTGTCTTTGAATTCAACTGGTGTATGGGGCTTCTAAACATTAAAAAAAATACATCTGAAAATGGCCTAGAGACCAATAGAGGTGAGTAAAAACTTGAGGAGCTATAATCCTTTAATTTCTTAATTATGATGGATGAGTTGTGTAAAGTAGGGGTTAGAGAGATGATATAAGCTGGAGAAAGCCTCCAAGAAAGGAGCACTCCATAATGCATGCTGAAGTTTTTGCTCAGAGATGAGTACAATGATCAACCAACCGAAATCAAAGAAGCATATTCCTTGGAAAAAACAATTCAGGGATTAGAATTAGTTCCATTGATTGATTGCTGTATTGTCATTCTACCCATTGTGATATAGTCCGTGCTTGCTCTAATCACTTGGTTTGGTGAGTCAAGAAAAAAATGCACAGTAAAGCACTGTAGTTGTTAAGCCACCAAGGCATCGCCTTTTAATTTTGATACACCAAATTCGTAGGGCGGAATGGCCTTCATTTTTGCTCTTTGGAAATGCCATAGATCATACAATTGTCTCTTGCATGTTTTATCCCAAAACATAATTTGTTAGATCAAGCCTTTTATCCATGCAATGTGTCATCATTTTAGCTACCTCCTTTTCTCTTGTAACATTTAGTTGTTGACTATGTTCATTTTTTATGTATCTTACTATTAGGACTTAGCAAACGGACTACTACAGATAGGCTTCGGGAAGAATTTGCGAAGTTTGGTGAAGTTGTTCACGGTTTGTTCTCCACCTCTAGGCATATTTCAACAGTGAAAATTTTCTTCAGCTGTTTATGCTTTAATACTTTGTAGTAATATCTTGAAAATATACTCTGAAACACAATGGTTCTCTGTTTGCTGTTTTCAGCGAGGGTGGTAACTGATAGAGTCTCGGGTTACTCTAAGGGGTTTGGTTTTGTGCAATATGCCACAATAGAAGACGCCGCGAAGGGCATTGAAGGCATGGATGGCAAGGTAAGATAGATTAAACCTCAAAGTTTACTCCTGTATGGGGAGACACGGAAATTCCTTTCAGAACATTGTTGTCTTGGGTTTGTGTCTGCTTGAGTATATTCATTCAAAACAAGAGTTTAGTATGTCAATCTAAGATAATTATGCTTAAATACCGTCAAAGAAGTATAGAGTATTGCATTCACAATTCTCAATTTTAATTTAGTTTGCACAAATCTCATCATTCTTGCTTGAACTTTGAATTCAAGATTTCTCAAATTTTCCCCTACTTGACATGGAAATCAACAATCATTCAACTCTCCAATATTTAGATTATCTGCTCCTTAGCTACCGTGAGCCTGTAAATCATGCATGGATTTCTAGGTTTGTATGAATATGCATAGTTTGACATTGCAACTCTGAACGTGAGATTCATCAATAGTTTTCTGTTGTTGATTTAATGAATTTTGTATTGCCTTGTTCATCTTAATGTATTCAGGAGACCTTGGTATTGTTTGTTTACAAATATGATAGTGTGGTTGCTTTATGTTTTGGCTTTTCTTACCAAACATTCTGCGGCTTTTCCCGTAATGCTTGCTGATATTTCCCCAAATGCATTGCAGTTTTTGGATGGTTGGGTTATATTTGCGGAGTATGCGAGACCAAGACCCCCACCGGGAAATGTAAATAATGCTCCACAGTATGGCCGGCAGTGATTCCTGTTATTTATCTGAAACATTCTTATGCCTCATTGAATTGGTTTTGTCTCAAATAGCAATTGCAAATTATAAAGTACTATTTTCAAGGGCATGAATGGTCGGGTGTCTTTAATTACATATAAAAGTTCTAGATTATTGTAATGGAAGCATAACTTATGACATTGTTGATGCTAGATTTCACTGATAGCGTTGAATTTATGTGGTTATGGTTACTTCAAAGTAGCTTCATTTTTGTCCTAGAGTACTGATGCCGATGTCTGGAATCCATGGGGGTTACTCTGGTCCGGTATCCCTTATATTTGAAACGAGATAAAATGATTATAGCCTACGATGTATGCAAACATGTAATCATTTCTTTTCTGGGAGTTTATTTGTGTTTGAACTGTTTGTGGCTGTTTTTAACTGGTTCGTGCACCTGATTGTTGCTGAATATAATGGTTGCCATCGCAAGTCTTGCAGGATCATGCTCACAATTTATGAATATTAGATTTTTTTTCTTTTCCTCATGTTTTTAGTCTTTATAAAATGAGTAGATTTTGATTTTGATTTTCTGGAATTTTTTTGTTTTTCATTTTTATAAAATTTTTAAACATTGTTTTTTAGGCTTCATAAAATAAGTAAATTTTAGTTTTAGTCCTTGATAAATATTTTTCTTTGATTTTCATATTTTTAAAAATGTAAAGTCACTATTTTTTTTAGTGATCATTTTAAATTATATATATATATATATATATATATATATATATCACCTATTTTAAAGATTTATAAAAAAAAAATTAAAAGTACCTCGTACAGGTAAAGTGTCTCATTTGTATCACTTTGGAGTGGTTACATTACTTTTTAATGAATACATATTTAATTAAAATAGAATACATAATAAGGATTAAAATCATAATTTTAAGTTTTAAATGGATGAAAAATAAAGAAATTTTTTATACAAATTAAACTTAAAATTTGCTTATTTGATAGAGATTAAAAATATATTTTAATTTTCTTTTGAACCAATGGATATCCCCAATATTGGTTGAAATTTGTAGGTGCTAGTTGGTCATTGAAAGCTGTTCACGAAACTTTCTCGGCATGCTAGGACAATTGGTTTTTTTTTTTTTTCCTCTATCTTTACGAAAGAACCATGAAAACTAAAACTTGCACACTAGACAGACGCTGCAGCATAATGGTTTGTAAGGTTAACGAGATTTGATGCATGTCTGATACGGCTATAGAAATCATTTTTCTAAAAATTAATGGTAGTTACAAAATATCATTCTCATTTTCATTTTCTTGCCAAAGTGTTATATCGCAAACAATGAAAGACAAACTTGCTTTAAAAGATCAACACGTCTTCCTAGTTTCCCCAAACTTTAAATACTTCTTAATGCAATTGTAGAGCTTTGCCTGTAATAAAATGATGCACAAGATTTTTCTTAATGAGTTCCTGTGCTTGTTCATATTCTAACTTAAGAAGGATTAAATCGCTCCCGAACGAACTTGCCTCTACTATTGTGCCAACTACACCCTTCTGAACTGCTATAGGAATAATCTAGAAATCCTATAACTAGATGTACCAAAGTGTCATATATTATTAAAAAAAATTTCTTTCTATTTCTCTAGTTGTAAATCTCTCTGTGTTAATATAAATTATAAATAAGTTACTTAATTTTTTTCTTTTATTTTTAATTTCTCTCTTATGACCTCTCCAAAATCAAACCGGGAATATTCACTTGTTAGTTGTTGCGAACTTTCCTAAAGTGTCACTATTGTTGTTTTCCCTTTTTGCAATTGTGTAGTGATTTCAAAGAATAATTTGTAGTCTTGTACAATGTACAGTATGTTTAGTCAGTTTTTTAAGTATGTGTACATTTAATTATGTAAATACGTACCTTCAAGTTTGGGAGTTGTTGTAAATATTTCAATAATTATGATTTGTCATTTTTTTTAACATTGAAAAACTCAAGGTCAACTTTGACTCTACATTAATGTTGTTATTATCACTATAACCGATAAAGAAGAGATTCACCAAAGTACTACTTCCATTCTTATACATAAGACATAAATACCTAATTTACCAAGATTAGCAAAAAGTAATTCATCTAGTTGAAAGTAATAAACTCGTCCTATTTTTATATTTTTTCCCAAAACTATCTTATATTACTTTTTTCTCTTAATTAATACTTTTCTCTCGACTAATTAGATTCTGCGACATATATTGTTTCTCTCTTAATTAATAGAATGTTTTCTATTAATTAACCAATTAGAATGTATGTTTTTTTAATAAGTTTATAATTAATGTATTTTACTGAATTAAGATAACATATTTTAATTATGAGTATTTTAATAAAAAATAATTAATACATGAAATACTATGAATCGAGTCTTATAAATCTTATAAATAGGAAGATATTATATGTTTGGAATGAAGTGCAATAAAATCAAGTTGTGTTCATTTTCATGTTGAGTGCAAATCAACATTGAGTGTTTTTTTTCTCCTCTGAATAGTAACAATGAGTTGTGCTTTGTATTTATTATGCTTAATCACACTTTTTGTCACCTATGATTAACGGTTTCAAGAATTTTTTTAAATTGCACAAATATTCATCCAACATTCAAATTTTTGTACATTTTTTCATAATGTTAGTTGACTGTCTATTACAGTTACTTGATTCTTAACATTACAAATTGACTATTAACATAATATGTTAACCATTGATATTAGGGATGAAAAAATGGATCATGACCATTAGTCGGCCAGTTGCATGCCAAAATGATTTAAAGATTTGCATGTTTAACTGAGCATTACTCATGAAGCTAGGATGAGATCTTGTTAATAATCCAAATGCACTATGAGTCCATGTGTTACGTAGGAAATATGGATGTAGTGATTCAAATATGCCTATGGTGGAGAAGTAGAAAGATGGATTGAAGTATGGAGAGCTATTACGGCGACTTGGGATTCATTGATGACTAGAGGAAGGTGGTTTAGTTGGGAATGGGCTCCGGGTGTGCTTTTGGAAAGATATGTGGTTACCATCGGGCACTCAGCTCAATGAGTTTATACCTCAATGCTTATTTGTTGATGAAACCAACAATGTTGTTTTTGCATATGTAACAATCAATGAACTATGGAATTTGGAGTATGTGCAACGGTGGATTCCAAAATATCTTATTTGAGGTATAAACTCATTGAGCTTCCAAAATATCTTATTTGAGATTTTGGGTCTTGTACCACCAAATGAAACATTGGGAGAAGATAGATTCATTTGGTCTTTAACACCAGATGGTTGTTTGTCTACCAAGACAACCATATGGGTTATTAAAAGGAGAGGAGAATGTGTCCAACTGTTCTTTTTGGAAATTATTTTGGAAAAATGAATTGCACCCAAGAGAGAGCTACTTCCTTTGGAAGATGGTTCATGATGGCATTATGACAAATGGATTTAGAGCGACTAGGGGGCTTAAGTGAAGTTGATACATGTCATGTGTCAGAAAGCTCCATAAAATTTATTGCATATGCTACGTGCTTGATTAGTAAAAGTGTGGATGTATGCCATCCTTTTAGGTCTATGGTGATTAGTATTTATGTTTTTTTGAACAGCTAAAAATTGTGTATTAGATTACAGGTATAAGGGGTATCCAAATCCATTTACACGAGAGAACATAAAAACAATATATTTTTGCAAATAATAGTAAGCTCTCGAGGTCCAAGTTCCCTTAACCAATTGAATTTGTCATTATTGTGATCTAAAGCCCGTTATGGTTTAACCAATCTTGTAAATGTGATTTGCAGCCCTTCTTGCTTCCATCTACTCTCTTCCACCTGTGACAAAACAACATCTACCCATGAAGTTGATTCTCCCCTAAGCTTCACACACACATGCCGAGACCTGGGTTGTTACACCATAATGCAAATGGAATGTTAAAGTTTTTAGAAAAGGAAGATAGCCATTGCCAGGATATATGCAATATATCTCTCGTGATGGCGTGTTTGTCGAAGATTCCCCCCTCAAAGATGCATTTATTCCTATGCTTCTAGATTGTCCAGTTAGTAGCCAACCACACAACTCTCCATCGTTCTTGTTCTGACTTTGATGAAATAGTTGCCAGAATGAATGAGAAGTGAGATTCAACCTGTTGTGGAAATGGGACAGGACTACTTAGTATTTACATACTTTTAGGAAAGCTAATATTGTCATCGACTATTTAGTGAGTATAGCTCCTAAATCGTCATTTTGGCTTACGTTTGTTAGTTAGGCCAACTGTTGGGTGCATTTATTTCCTTACGCAAGATGTAATGAGGCTTTTCATACCGTTGAAGTTATGTTTAGGATGTTTGGACTCCCTCTTTTATAAAAAAATAGTAATTACTATATAAATATAATATATGTGAGTGTATATCTATTTAATATATATCAATACAAAATTTTGGTGTGAATTTTGGGAATTTTTTTTAAGATAACTATATGTGATTTAGTTAAGTTAGTTAATATTGTTGTAGGCCCACATCCAAATTGTTCTACCTTAACATAATACTATACTTTCTTGTTTAAGTGACAAAGTTTAAGAAATCAAATTAAGTTATTTGTACCTGGCTTTCTTATGAGGTAACGTTATCTTATACCTGATTTGGTTGAGATAAGTCTAACACTATGATTCAGTAGGGACAAGTCACTTAAACTGCTCACTTCAGTTGTAGGAGATCTCCTTAGTTGACATATGTAATGATGCAATAGTTGTTGATATAATATACGTATGTTGAGATATTGATTATGAATAAGTTGATAAATGTTGAGCATATTGTAAGCTATGAGTTGTACTATTGTCTATGTTTTTGTTGCTTTAGTTGTATTGTTGTATCTTTTTTAAGTTTACCCTTATTTTTCTTGTGATTGAGACTACGGTGACCATACTTGATATGCGAGTAAGGCAAGATTAGGCAGTTAACTAGTGAGATGATAACTATTTTGTATGACTCTTCTAGTAGAGTAATATTTTAGGAGTCCTTGATCGGCTGTATAGAAGATATTTTGTAAGTTTTTAGTGATGATATATATAGTATATGTACTAAATTTTATATATTGTATATATTAATATATTTTACTTTATGCATATTTTAACTTCCGTTTAACGTCAATTTTTTAATACTAAATATGATGACTTGTTGGGTCATTACAACTAAACTCAAGAATGACATATAATTAAATTGTGTCGTATGATTTTCTTTTTATCCTCAATAAATTTATACTAAAAGTGATTTTTTCATCCAAAAATTGAATTATATGTTTATAACTTTATGATATGTAACTTGAATTTATGTAGGTTTTTTCTTTAATTGAACATCAATAAAACAGTAGTCAAATTATTTATATTTTAGTATATTTAAAAAAT